CTCAACTCAAGTATCTGATCAGTTCAAACACATATATAATGATACATGATAAAATAAACCCTGAAATGTCAGTAGTGCTACAGTGTCAAGATCAGGACTCATCAGACACTCTGGATGTATGTGGTATCATTTATAAAGCCAGATGTTTACTCCTGGAATGACAGCTCTCATAACATACAAAGGCAACAAAGGATGAGCTGATTTTAACTTTCATAACTGCTGGTCTTGTGTCCTCTCTGGTAGACAAGAGACAAAAACACCAGGGTGGGAAATGAGATGATCAGACATCCAGACACATCAACTGATGGATACACAGAAACTACTGAGTAGACATCAGAGAAGTTCAGTAAAAGTTGATTCTGTTCCCACTGAATGATTCCTCTCCTCTTTTTAAAGATGTTCCTCCTAATTCTCACTTTAACATTAATTATTAGATTATTATAAGGGTGCAGAGGTCCTAATATTTTCAGTCATTTCCATCTTCCAGGAAAGGAACTTGATTTTACTGACTCTAGTGTCAGTGTGGATACAAATAAAATAAAATTAAATTACAGGTCACACAGTAACAAAAGCACTTTAGTTAACACAGATACTAAAGTTATAAAGTAATATAATAATAACTTACCTTGACACCATCTTGCTGCACCCCATGGTCCCTGCAGAGTGTGGTCTGTGCTGCTGCTCTGAGCTGTAACACAACACACACCTGCTGAGTGCTGACCTCTGACTCTGGAGTAAACAGGACACATTTGTATCACCTGTGCTTTTCCTGCAAGCTCCGCTAGCCTCACAGCTAGCCCCAGTTTGTTATTCAGGTTAAAGTGGGAAGAAGCAGCGGGTCTGTCGGGCAGCTGAGTGAAGTGGAGCCTGAGGAGGAAGCATCTGTTAGCCCCGATTTCACTACAGTCAGATTCACTCGCTACAGAGGCGAGGGAATAAAACCTCAACAGCCAATCAGAGTGATCTCTCTCACTAACAAGCTCCGCCGCCGATTCAACATGTTCAATCGGCCGAAAAGCCGCTGATGCCGAGGTGCCAACGGTGCTGGACACACCGCAAAAACAAGGGGTGACAGACGCTCACAGATGGCCGGACTTTGGTCGACTGCCAACCGTCGGCTTGGTGTGTCAGGACCTTAACAGAGGTGTCTTCCTTTAACTTTTAATAATGAAAAGTTGAAAACACATCCTGCTCTCACACTAAATGCACTTTAGATGAAAGGTGAAAGTGAAAAGACGGTCACAGTCAAATGTGAAAGACTTTACAAGTGCACAAGCAGAATGTTCTCCTGCAGCTTTCTTTACACCTTGTGACACAGTGTGCAGAAGTTATGAGCTCTATGACTGCCTTCTTTATGCTGCAAGTTTAATAAGTAGCTGTATGAGAATATGCATATTTGTCATCACTATATAAAATATTTACAGCCTGATTTACTTGGAAGATTAACGTAGTGACATGTTGTCTGTTCCACATTACTGCCGCTGTATGTTAGGTGTTAGTTTGGAGCTTTTGTCCACTTTTCCTGTTCAGTCAAACACAAAATAATTTAAGTCACTTGAAGCAGAGCCTGGTGTTGAAGAAAAACTAAATAGTCTCACACAACAAAGGGGAAGGAAAACTTGGTTTCCTTGTTTATCACACCAGTAGTTCTCCTTTTAGTGTCGAGCAGCCCCCTCACATGTTCAGGTTTAATAACATTTCACTTCAGGGACCTCCATGTGAAAAGATTTTGGTAGTTAGATGTGAATTCTACAGTTGTTTACTGGAGTTGAGGAGATATCTGTGGAGGAAGTGACACCTCTGATCTGATGGCTCTTCCTAACATCAAGCTCACTTCTACTGTGAATTAAATCATGGAAATAAATGATTCCTCATTTTCTAAGGACCCCTGTAAGTCCAGCAAAGACCCCTGAGGGTCCTCGGACACCTGGTTGAGAACCACTTTATTAGACTGACAGTATCTATTTCGAGACGACGAAGAAAACAGTCACGTTGGGCCTAAAGCACATGGCTCGCCATTTTCTAAAGACAAAAAAACACAATTCGGACTTGTTTTTCTCGTTAACTTTTGTTGTTGTTCGGACAGAATGAAATGACTGAATAAACAGATGACACAAGAACCCTGGTGATAAGGGTGCCGTAGCATTGTGTTGACCTCTCATTAGTCCGACGTCCCGTTGTTCCGATGTGTGATTACACTAGGCTATACTGTATTTGTGTACCATAGAGGATCAGCAATGCAACAAAAGTAGGCTACTGGTCGAGATACAAGTGCCATAGAGAGAAGAGAGTGAAACACCATAACCTCCTGTTATTAACTCTGGGGTCCGGGTTGTGTGGGGAGCTCTCCGCGGTGCTGAACGGCTCCCGGCGGGCGTATTTCTGCCTTGATGGTGCGCCGCGACCAGCTCTGGGTCAGCTGGGAAAGGCTTGAGGCGAAGCAGGCTCACAGCTTATGTGTGGTTTTTGTGCCTAAACCTAACCAGACCTTAACAACAAGGCATCATGATGATTTCGGAACAACGGGACTTCGGGACAATGGGTTTAATATGGTCGGAACAATGGCATGTCGGAATAATGGGCTGTCGGACCAATGGGCAGACCCCGGTGATAAGATTAATAAAGTAATAGAGTATTCACAATACCTTTTGGGAGTCTCTCGGCTGTAAAAAATACTGCGTCACTGCTGTAAGAATGAAAGTGAAACTATGCAGCTCCGTAAACTCAACCTCCCCCTCTGCTCACCACTGGAGCACACACACACCGCCCCCCCCTCCCCTTTTTGTTTTGTTTTTGTTCGTTTGTGCCTTGGTTTTGCTTCTCATCTTTGTATTAAATCTGAATGTGTATACGTATGTGCACATTTTTATGCTCATGATTGTAAGCATACAGAGGTGCAGATAAGATAAGAATGTATGTATGCATGTGTCACAATAAGTAGGTTCTTTTCAATCCCCAATAGACCACGGAGGCAGGTAAAAAGTTACACTTTATTACAGGAAACAATAATAACTGATACAATCAAATCTTGCGGCTCACTAGAGTGAAGTAGTCTGGGACTTTAGATTTTCAGCCAGTAATATTGGTGAATAAGCGAGGAGAGGAGGGGGACTTCAGTTAAATAATTTGGCCACTTAAAATAGACAATTAATGAGACCTGGGTATATCACTGCACTACAGCAAAGCAATCCATAAAAGCAATAAGGGTCACAGCAAAATAAATGCATCAACCAACACAAACTAAAGGAAAAATCCAATACACACATGCAGGCAACACATAATAGAGCGGGTCTTAAGAAAACGTCTATTGTGACTCCAGACCCCTTTAACCCCCTCCCCACATCCAATTACCTAGTTCCCAAATAACAAATAGTTGAAAAAAGACAGTCAGTGGCCAAGAGATAAAAATGTCAATCAAAATTATCAGGGTAGAGGCGAAAAAAAAAATGTTCTCAAACAGGTGAGGTGGCCAGGCGGGGGGGGTTCTCTCTCTGCGTCAGGGAAGGCGAGCAGATGTCTCCGTGTCCGTTCACTCCAGCGCATTCGTCTCACAGCCGTGCGTTCAACCTCCGCGCAGCTTCTGCTTCCCCTTTTTATCACCTCGGCCTCTCCACAGGAGAGCCTTGATTACCAGACTCAGTTCACCTGTGAATGGAAGCACAAGAAGGGAAAACACACCCATCCCCGCATAATTGGCAGCCAAGTCCCAGTTCAATGTTCCCTCCCCAAAGTCACAATGCACCTCTCCATATATCCATTCAATACCCCCCCACACAACCTTTACAGGGTCTCTATCAGACACAATGGTGGACTCACACATGCAGACTGAGAGGAAATCCAAAGTTCAGGGTGTTTTAATCCAGTCAGGGTCGGTACACAAAGGGCAGTCAGCACAGGCAGAGGTATCCAAATCAACAGGCATAAACTCACTGGTCTAAATACCAACAGGTCAGTCTCATGAGGAGGACACACTGGGAAGAACACTGGAAAGCTCACATGCAGGACAAGACGATGGAGCAGAGAACAAAGGGAAGACTCAGACTTATATACACTCTGACAGGGGAGATAACGACACACAGGTGAAAGCAATCAGACAGGTCAGATCACTGCAAACAAAACACATAGAGTTTATTTATTAGACCTTGTTATACAATAAACTACCCAACTGTTGATATCAGCAGATTTAAAGATTAGTCGATTAATGAAATACTCCTGATGTGATTGTGAGCTTTAATCTGCTTTGGTTTTTAATACTTTAATTATACAA